TCGGTGAACGGAGTTGAAAGCAGGACGGGCGGGGAGCTGTGCATTCATTTGCGGTGAGGTGAGTGAGAGAAACTGAGACTTCCACAGTTTAGGAGACTCCAACAGAGGACATTCTGGGACTGGGCAGACTTGCGGGAACAGGGCGCTGCAGTGACTTCAGCCACGTATCCCCCTCTCAAGCGGGATTGGTGAGAAGTGCCTAGTCTATGTGACGCTGCTGGCTGAGACCCAGTAGGCTAGCATAGCCCAGGTCCCAGCTCCTGAGGGCGACCTGGAGGGGCGGGCCCCGCATAGGCTGCCTGGTCTGCAACTTCCTGGTGTGCTGCGGTGGGCGGGAACACCTAGCCGGCGCAATTCAATCAGACTGTGGCTGACAGGGAAGGAAGCTAGGCCTCCTATATACGCTTGCATATATAAGGAACAAAGAATATGGGAAGAGGGAGCAACAAGAAAGGCCCTTCGGCCCCCAATCCTGAGAAACAGGCAATAGCGGACACCGCACCAATAGACATAAAGCGCCATATAGAGAGCCTCATAGATCAGTTCAGGAATGAAGTTATTAATGACCTGAAGCTAGAAATAAGCAGAATAGTTAGAGAAATGCTAAGCACCACCCAAGAAAAAACAGATGGTAGAATGGAAGAACAGAAAAAGAGGGGAGAATTGTTTGATGGAGAAAATAGAGAAAGCATAGAATACGTGAAGCAGGTTCAAAGAGACTACCAGGAAACTAAAAACTCTATCGAAAACTGGCATAACAGCTTGAAAGAAACTAAGGACAGACTATCTGAACTGGAGGGCAGATTTGTAATATGGGAGAATGAAATGAAAAACTTCTTAAAAGTAACAAAGAAACAAACAGCAATAATACAAAGACTAGAAGATGATAAGAGGACCCATAACTTAAGAATTAAGAACATAAAAGAAGAAGTAGGGACACAAACAAATGAGCTATAAAAGCTACTCACAGAAATAATCCAGGAGAATTTTCCTAATTTAGCAAAAGGTAAAGATACTCAGTTGTATGAAGCATACAGGACCCCAGCCACCTACAACCCAAACAGAGCAACACCCAGGCATATAATAATTAAAATTCCAGAAATTCAATACAAGAACAGAATATTAAAAGCCGTCAGAGACAAGAAACAGACCACTTACAAGGGAACACCCATCAGAATTACAGCAGATTTCTCTGCACAAACCATCAAATCACGAAGAGCGTGGGGGGAAATAATTCAAGCTTTGAAAGATAATAATCTCCAGCCAAGATTGATATATCCTGCACAACTATCCCTGGAAATTGATGGAAAAACAAGGTGCTTCCAGGATAAAGAGGAACTAGGGGAATATGCAACTACCAATTCAACTCTACAGAGAATACTGCAGGATATTCTAAAAAAGAAAAATACAAAGAATCCAGAAATAGTGGCAGAGAGGCCACAATGAATGGAGCAGAAAACAAAATGAAGAAGACAAACTGACAACTAATGACAGAAAAAGAGCTCAACAGAAATGAGGCAGAGAAGACTGGATGATAGGAACAGCTATTTTGGAGAAAATGACATCTTAATAGGTAATACTGCTTTAGTATCATCTTGTTTTGAAGTCTCATCAAGCTTTTGTTCTTTTGTCTCCATTGGTCTAAACAGGTTGTATCTTATTGGATTTTATTATGTATGATAGTATAAGCAAAAACTTTTAAAGACAAGGAGATTATACAGAAATCATTATTCATTTTCTGTTAGTTGATTCTAAATACCCTGTAATGCTGTCACTCTCTTAAATGGTTTTACATTGTTTTGATATATTTGATGCTACAGTATACGAAGTTATACTCAAAGATTTCAAGGAAAGAGACAATATGGTAACTACTTTTGTGTCAGGATTATCTTGTGGTGAAACACTATTCTGCTTAAATGGTTATGTTTTGATCTGCGCTGTTTTGCTGTTATGCCCTCTTTTATCTCAATCTCCACTTCATTATTTACTTTTTTATTTTTATCCTTTTAAGGGAAAAATAAATAAAAAATAGCAGGATTTATTATAGTAACCCACTTTAACTTTCCATTATCTTGATTTAAAGCCCTGTATTACTCTCACTATGTTGTTTTTGACTGATGTCCCCCTATTCTGTTTTGCTTGATAGTACCAGGTTCGAAAGTTTAGGCAACAGCTGTGAAGACAGTGGGATTCATTATGACGCCCATTCTGGTTGACTATTATCTACTTTTGAAGACCTATAATGTCTCCAATGTTTTGGTTTAGTCGGTTTTGTTTTTCACTGTTTTGTTCAATTTTATTATAACTGATGATATAGGCAATTCTATTAGAGATAGCGGGAGGCATTATGGTAACCATTATTGATCACCTTGTATTATGCTTTTACATTATTATGTCCACCCTTTTGATTTGATTGACTCTGTTCTGTTATGTCACATTTGGTTCTACTCCCTTCCAAAAAAGTAATAAGAACTGTGGGAGCAACAAAACACAAAATGTGTAATTGTCATTGTACAAAAGAGAGGAAAAGAAAGTGCTCTAAACGATATAACTGCATGTATATTTAAGTGTATAAGATAGATAATGATATCACTGAGTTTTGTTGGATCATTGAACAGAAGTGCTTGCAGTCTCACTGTTGGAATGTCCACTTTACAAGCTTTAATTTTGTAACTTGAACAATTATTTCTAAGATGACAACATGTAATCCATTAACTAATGATTTCCTACTGTTTATTTTTTTCTGTAAATCTGTATAACTTGTACCCTTTCTCTGCTTTTTTTTTCTCCTTAAGTAAAATTTTAAAAAAATTAAAAAAAATAACTTTGTTTTGGACATAAACACATCTGATAAAACCTGAACTGCAATGGTGCTGAGCATTAGCAGAAACAGTATTTCAGGACATCAGATGGTAATTTCAGGGCTCTTTTGCCTTTGTATTTCAGTGATCTAAAACTATGATGATGAGAAAGCACATTTTCAGTTCATTAAAAATAGGTATTATTCTGTTCTTTGTTGGTACGGTTTCATTAATTATAAGCAGTTACTTCTCTAAAATACTAATTTTTTTGATATGTTTTCTTCATTACATTGACTTAAATCAAGTAAGCCAACTGATTCAGTAACTCAAGAGGAGCATCTTCTAGTTTGACCTAGGGCATGCTGGGCTATATTAATGTGGTGTTAGAGTGGATGATTAGAAAGTCTTACATTCAAATTTTGAATACGAAATATTTCTAGACTCAGACATACTAGGTCAGGAGCTTCGGAGGTACCCTAAAGCACATTCAGAAATGTTTTAAAAAACAAAACAAAACATGTCTGGATCTGTCCTTACTTGGAAATAATAATAAGCACAGTAAAGTAATAGCAGTTTACTTTCACTGCAAGTGGCCAGGCAAAGTACTAAGCAATCTTTTTCTTTCTTAGTTTTCACTGTGTGTATTAGAGGTAATTACCATTTCTATCCTTTGGATATGGAAGTGAAGCTAAGTCAAAGGGAATGTATGGTTTAAGGGCTTACACTAAAGAATGTAACTCATTGCCTATACTTAAATCTTTTATAAAATGTAAATAGAGGCACTCACATAGGACATATTGGTCAGTGCACTGGTGACACATCTGGTCTTCACTACTCCCTAATAAACTGTTCCTTGAGGTGTTATCCATTTGGCTTACATTAGGGGTATGTTTTAAAAGGTATTCATGTGAAGCTCACTATCACATTTCTAGTTGGAATAGTGATGAGAACTTACAGTGTCTTTCTGTACCCAGTCTGAAGCCCAAGGGGAGAACAGCAGGGCCAGAGACACTGGTTCTCCTTAGCCATCAATGCACTTAATTAATGAACAACGGGAAATGCCCACAGATAATATTTATTACTTTAGACACTTTGTTATTTACTGTAGCCACTACAAAGCTCAGAGCACTATTCAGTACCCGCTTTGGTACAGCATACATGTCTCTAACTTTAGCTCTGAGCTCAATTCAGTATTCCTCTGTTAACTGCCTCATATCCCATTTTACTTCAACTTTGGAATAAACTCTTAGGATCAAAAAAGCCCAATTTTGTTTTTCACTCTTATATTGGCATCTGCTTTTTACAGCTGTAAGAAAATATATGTAGCAACTGATATTTTTGGTAACTACTATAATGTATACCAAAGCACCATAAAAATCAGGTTACATCAAGCTTCCTCTAGGGATAGAATGAATCTAGAACCTGAATTACAATTATTAACTAGTTCAGTATCTTGCACTAAGAAAAAACAATTCTTAGGTTTTTACTGATAGGTGTACTAAAGACTGAAGCCAGTGATACTATACCACTGAGCTGTATCTTTGCTCCTTTATATTTACTTATTTTATAAATTTTGAGACAAGGTCTCCCTAAGATGCTCAAGTAGACCTCTAACTTTTGATCCTCCTGCCTCGGTCTCCTAAATAGAGGGAATCACAGGCATGTACCACCATGCCCGGCAAGAAATTCATTTAAACCTACTCTAAACTGACTAATTATAACTCTTATTTTTATACACAGACTAAATCAATTGCAATAAAACTCACAGATCTAAAACTTAGTTAAAACGCACTTCATTGCACTTTTAACTCTTTCAAATGATTAAATGTTTATAGTAACCTATACTTCTTAAGAATTTGCCTCTTTAGATATCAAGGACAAAGAACTAAAGTGAATTCTTACATTTATACAGAATAGTCATATATTTATTTATACAGACTATTTTCTGCTATAAACACTTTGATACATACTCATCATGGTATTAACATATTTACACCATATATATTACATATGAAGTGCTTCTGTTGTGCATTTTGTAACTAAAGCATTATTTTATTTGCTTTAACTCATTTGGTTGTGCTTTATTTTTGATATTTAAAAGGAATTAAATGTTTACTTTCAATCACATGAACAGAAATGGAGGTAATCATGTGTTTAAAAAACAAAGTACATTTTTAAAGAAGACACACGTGTCCTCACCTGAGGCTGCTGTGGCATTTGTGGGGGTTGAAGCAGCTGCTTGAATCCGAGCATGAGGAGGAATAAGGATGGTAGCCAGAGGTGGATTACTTGACAGTTCTAAAAAGGGAAAACACAAAGATTAGAGCCTACTTTTAACTCTGTCTCTGAAACCATTTTGGTGGTAGCCATAAACACAAGGGGGAAAAAAGCCCAGAAAAAAAAAAATGATAAACCTACATATCAAAACTAGGCAATGAGCTAGTAATCAACATATAGTGCAAGCTCACAGAAATAATATACTATCTGCTGAGATTAAGGTGTGTCTGAGAGCTAAATGGAGCTCAGGGAAAAGCACAAGTGGAAAGGCTGAGAGTAAGTGTATTAGTAAGATGGTTTTTATCTTTTATTGATAAAAATGTATCATCCTACTCTAGCAATACTTACCTGCTGGAATTGAGGGTAAAGGTATTACAGATGAGAATGCATGATCAGTATGCACCTATATGTGTATACATGTACAAATGGATATACAGGCCAAATTACCCAACTGTTGAAGACCTATTCAGATACCACCAGAAGCAGGACTTAAAAAACATCAATCTCACTACTTTTTATTAAAAACAAGAATTTTTTAATACAATTCTGTGTTCTGTAGGGGCAGTTTAGAAAGTTATTTTATGATGATATATAAATAGTGGTGGTGTCTGTGTAAGAATTTAGGGTTAGCTGTAAGAGTTACGATTGTCCTCTCCCTGCCTGGGATAGCCCTGGTTTATGCTTGCAATCCCAGCATTAACCTGCGAGTGCTTTCACTCTCGTATCACAGTTTGAAGAAATAAATACACGATAATTCTAGTTACGGGAAGACATTCTCCAAGCTACAATTTGGGTTTTTTTGGGTCTTTTTTGAGGCAGGGTTTTACTGTATGTTTCAGGCTGGCCTCAAACTCACAGTGATTCTCCTGCTTCCGTCTCCCAAATGCTGGGGTTACAGGTGCACCACTGTGCCTGGCTGTATTTTTTTTTTTTTTTTTTTGATAACTTAGAGAAGTGGCATTACCTTATTAATGAAGGTAAAATTCACAGAGCATAAAAATAATCATTTTAAAGAGGCATTTAGCACATTTTATAAGATTGTACAACTATCATCTCTATCTAGTTTCAATATATTTTCATTATCCCAAAGGAAACCCCAAGCCCATTAAGCAGCTACTTCCCATTAACTCTACCCCTAGACCCCCTAACAAGGAAACTAGTATTTCAATGTGGCAGTTTACAAATATTTTTAGGATTTATTCAACTTAGCCCCTAAATATCTAAATTTTGCACTAAATTAAAGAGTCCAAATGTACCAGGTTTTGGCAATGAAAGAAAATAAACTGATGTCAAAACTTATTTACAGTGAAAAAGAAGACAAGCTTCAAATGGAAGACTGGGAAACTGTTATGCTAATTATCAGGTTTTGAGAGATGCTGTTTTCTTGTAACCTGATTTTGTGGCAGAGGAATAGGAAGAGTCTATGTCATTTTACTTCAGATCAGTCACATTTTAACCTTTTATTTTGGGAAACAAGGGAATTTCTGGTGACTGCCATGGCTGATGATTTTAGGGTTCTAGGAATATATAAAATATTAATGTAGTATGTGGTGGTTACTCTTCATAAATCTAAAATAAATTTAGATTTATCATCCTAATTAAATCTCTTAAAATAGAAAAGCTCCTTTAAAATTCATCCATTTATCCATCTATCAACCCACTCACATACCCTGAGAGTAATGAGCATGAAACTGTATTAGGTCCCAGGATACAAAGATTAAAAGGATAATCATCCTTGTCTTATTAACAAATAGAAATGGACAAGTGACAACAAAGTCATCCAATCTATTAAGAATAGGGGCACTTAAAGTATTAGACTGTCATTCTGGCCTTGGAGAGGGAGAGGTATAGTAATAAAGAAAAATATGGAGGGCTGGGGGATGAAGTGTTTGTGAATAATTTTTAGTCAAACATCCTGAAGGTTAAGAATTTGCTTTTTTCCTACATCAGAGAGCTTGCAAACTGGCATAGGTCTTGTTCGTGTGAATGAAGAAGTCTCCTTGTACTCTTGCCATTGCCCTGTTCTCTCTACACTGAGTTTGCATTTTTTACTGTGCACTTCTATGTGGCTGTCACAAGTAGTTCAAAATGGCTGCAATTAGTTTTTCATTCTCGTTAATTACTACTTAATTCCAGTCACTGTTGTCTATCAATGCCAACAGATAATAAAGATTCAGGCACTGAATGTGGATACAAGCCAAAGCACAGGATGCAATAACAATGACAATTTGGAAGAAGAAGAGCAAATCAAGAGCAGTTGCCAAGACCAGGACGCACGTATGCATACTGAGGTTGAGGAGGAGTGGAAGGGACCGAAACAACCAAGCAAGCAGCTATTTATTAGTGTGTGTGTGAACCTTGACTGCTGGGAGGTAAGGAAAGACAAGGAGGCCCACGACATTAAAAATGGGCTAACTCTGGAGAAGTGAGAGGAAACTAAAAGGTAGGAAGGGTGTGACTGTTACCTTAAGACATGCTTAAAAACAAGAAAAGTTAATGCATGATAAGCATTACATGAACTAATTAGAGACATGCACCAAAAAAACCCCAGAGAGTATTTTACTAGGGAAAACTACAAATGTTTTAATGGTGCAGAAATCATTACATGCTCTATTATCAAACATTTTAATCTATAATTTATTAAGTAAAATGATTTTTTAAAAATAGGTTCCAAGTAGCCACAACAAATACAACCGAAAGGTTACCTAAATGAATCTGAATAAAATTTGCTGCCCTGTTGAGTTCTGCTACATTATATATAGAAGGAACATTTCCAAGAAAATGCAAACTGACTAAACTCAATCATGCCTCAACAAAGCAATTTTTTAAGATGGCAAACAAAACCTCATTCAAACTGGCAAAATATGAAATTTTTCTGAATCTAAACTTCCTATTCTTCCAAGTACAATATTCCAAAATTCACTGTAATTCCAAAGTTCATTGGTTAGAAAAAGGCAGGCAAGAACTTCCCTAAGTTCTGGGAGGGTAGTGTTTGCACGGTGGTGACAAAATGGTTTTTTTTTTTAGTGTGTGAAAAAGTTGAGGATAAATTTAAGAATAGCAGCTAACGTATAAACTGTGGGGAAGAAATCAACCCCTCTTAACTAGCCCAACTCTTATAGTGATTGTAGTGAATTACTAGTCATCCAGAAGAAATTATCTTTGAAGGAGTTTACCCTCCAGATCCCCAGGAAGAAATCAATTTTAAAAATGGGTTTTCATTTTCTTCTACATGTAGATCGAGGGGCTCAGGTGTGCATCAGGCCTCTTATGTGAGCATGAAAATTGTCAGTCATTGTCTACATACCTAAAACTATCATTTCTATTTATGCATACAAAGCTTTAAATGACTTATCAATGGGGTGTCCATTTCATTTGTGTAATCTTTTTAAGCACTAATTAAAATGCTATAGTGGTGCTCTTGCATCTCACACATTACTGAATTCTAATGCTATTTATTTGTACATATTGTCTTAGATGGGTAAATAACCCATTTCTTTTCAAACAAATTTAAAGTACCCAGGAAGTTTCAATTTTCTAACATTGAATACATATATCACACTCAACTCAAAAATTAAACTAAAAAATTTTGAAGACAGTGAGGATGGCTCATACAAGGACTATGGAATTTTCCTAATCCCATGACTACTTTGTTATGAAACTGTCCAAAAAGGAGACTGGCAATTTGTATCAATCACCAAAATAAGTCTCAATGCTTTTAGTGTACTACATTTATAGTACAGATATATTTTAGACGTTACCTGGAAAAATGTTAAGGGTTTTCAAAGTTCTGGTGATTAATCTAAAAACCTTATACTCCAGAACTCCTTTTTTGATGTAGTGCAACACATGAAGCATCACTGAGTCTTTCTTCAACTAAAAATAGTCCTTTGGCACATGAAAGTACTTGGGGCTTGGGGCAGGGGGCATGGGATGTAGCAGGGTGGTAGAATGCCTGCCTGGGGTATGCAAGGTCCTGGGTTTGATCTAAAGCACTGCAATATACAGACAGACTGGACAGACAGTATTTTGAATTTTCCATACTTCTTTATACAATGATTTTGTATATTCCAACCCTATTGTGATTTATACTTTCAGTTTAATTTCATTTTTTCTTTGTCTTTAAGGAGTTAGTTCATTTTTATAACCAGAATTTTGGAAACAGAAGTTGAGTATATCTCAATCTAACTATCTATCATGTTTTAAAATGTGACATTTCAGAGTCAGGGTCTATAATAACTAGTAATAACTAGTCTCTAACAACTAGTTAGAGGGGAACAGACTTTAAATCTGACTTACTGTAGCCCAAAGTTGCATTTTATTACTGCTTCTGATATATCAAATACTGCCAATGTTCTGGTCTTCCTGAAGTCTCTCTGAGTAAACTATACAGAGAACTTCCAATCAATATATTGGGTTCCTTTATTGTTTATTTCTATACTATTCCACATTCTTCTAAATATTGTGTCACAGCAGAGTGAACCACATAATATTAGAAAAAAAAATGACAATTCTCACCTACAACTGATACTTGATTACACAGCTAACATTACTTCCCATTAGTACTGCAGTTCCCTTGAACTAAATCTGTCCTGGCCTTCTTAGGCTACTCATGAATCTTCTGAACTCTCCAGAGCACAGTGTGCATCCCCTGTTCTTACATTTCAGTGCTTAGAAGAGCACAGCCTGATTACACAGAAATTTTATTTTCTAGATAATTTGCAAAATAGCCAACAATTGTTCTGATTTAATTCCTTTAACATCTCTTACATTTAAAAGCACTTCCCTCTTACGCAAATTTATTACTGCTACTGTAAATTATAAATCTAAAGGCCAAAAACCTCTAGCTCAGTATTTACAGTAATTTCACAGTTAATATCAGAAAACATTTCACTACCTCAGATACTTGAAATACTGTGCATACTGAGATAATGAACGTTAAAAGAAAATGTCCAGGATACAAAAAGTCAGATAAGCAGATGAGCTGTCCATATTTACGTTTCTCAATATTTTATAACAGA